AAATGCAATATCATTGTGAGTTCTGATCTTGTTATTTGTGTGTCCATGCAGTTCAGCAGTGTGTTGTGTTGTGATGAAGTCAACCCTCTGCTCTGCCTTCACATTATCCCTCATCCTCTGACTAATCAGGCCTGTGCTCCGCTTCTCGCTGCCTCATTAGTGAACTTTAACGATGTTTTGCTCAAATACCTTTTGCTTAGGCTGGCGGTATATATCCTTATCCCCTAGTCTGTTTATCTCCCACCCTTGATTTACCTTTCAGTGAGTAGGTGTATGTGGCGATTGAGTAAACACTTTGTGTCGCAGTATTTATACAGTGGTCCAGTTAAGATTGTTGTTTACGTGATAAGACCAGATCATTTTCTTAATTGACACAGAGAGTCTACTGGTTGTCTATATTAAAATAAAACAGAGCCAAAACTCAGTGTTGAGATAGTAATGAAATTATCTGTGTATTCCTAGGGTTTAGCTTTGAAACTGGACATATACTTGTATGTGAAACAGGAGATTTCTGTCTTGCAGTACACTGAAAAAAATATTTTTTTGAAGATTATTACAGTTTGTTTTACAAGAAAGCAATATTTCAGTCTTTCTACTTCAATTTTTTATGTTTAATTCAGTGTGTTACTTGCCATTGCTTTGTAATTGTTTGTGAAATTTAATAGCAGTTTCTGAGTGAAAATTATTTCAAAGTAAATCCTACACCAAATTTTGTAGACCAGTTTTAATAAGTCATACTTATGCTGTAGTTCTCAGAGAAAGGATTTGAGTTGCAAAACTTGCTGTCAGCATGTGGCTACCTTTGGGAGAAAACTTAAACTTACTCTAGCTTCTCAGATGCTTCAGTGGTTTGGTTTCACCTTGTTATGTGCATCCTTAAAGGGATAGTTCAGCCAAAAATGAAAATTCATCATTTACTCACCTTCATGTGTTCTAAACCTGTATGACTTAATTTCTTCTGTGAAACATAAAGAAGATATATCTCAGTGTGTGTGTGTGTGTGTGTGTGTGTGTGTGCTTATGTGTTTCCCATTCAATGGAAGTCAATGGTGACCAAAACTGTTTAGTTACAAACATTCTTTAAAAATATCTTATTTTGTGTAGAAAAGAAAGTCATACAGGGACATGAGGACCAACATGAGGAATGTAAATGATGACAGAAATGTAATTTTTGGGTGAATTATCCCTTTAACTACTTAAAGGAAAATCTTTCCTAGGAGTAATTTATATCATGGTAACAGAATCAGGCCTTTTGATAATCCAGTGAATTAAATATTTTGTAAATGAACGGTTCTTATTTTCTCCTTTTATTTAGAACTTGGTGGATCCAGTATTCAGAACAAATGATGTCTGTCATAAATGCAAAAACAGCTACACTATTTTACATTTGAGTGAAAAACAAGAAACAAAACAGTCAAACTGAGATTATAAAACAGATAGTACTGACTCGAAAATATACATGCACATGATCACACATTATTGAATTCTGTATTAATGTTTTTTTTTTCACATTTGTACACGTTTTCACCATTCTAACTTGTAAATAATACACACTAATAACAGCATACATGTATTTACCATAGTATTTACAGCAAAATATATTAGTGTCATACCGCCCAGCACTATTCAGTCCTAACATGCATATTCTATAAACCCACTTAAAAGTTGTTTTATATCTCTTAAACTGCACACCTTGTTCTAACCAGGCGTGACATGATAAACTCGTAAGAAAATTAATTTTTCAAGTTTTTGTTCCAATTAACAAGTAGCTCCGCCCACAGTGAAAAATGCCATTAGTTTAAAGCTCCACATACCAAACATAATGTTCTGATCAGCGGTGATTGTGTTTTGTCACACAATAGTTTCTATTTTAGTGGAACTATGTTACTTTTCTCTAGACTTGTTAGGACATGTGATATAAATGAACCTGGCTGATTTCAGTAGAATAACTTGATTGTGTTCATGCTTTTTAATGACATAAAAATTTTCCAGAGAAACATACTGAGTGACTAATGGCCTTCAGAAAGTTTCACAATAGAGAGAGTGAGAAAATAAGCCGATGTGAAGCTGATGTTTCAATACAATATTTGCTATGACACTTGAACATTGACCTTTTCCTGAAATGTGTTGCTGCATGTATTGGACGATTGATATTGTTTTCATTTCCCCCAAGGTCTTGTAGGTGTGGGGGGGAAACAAGG